TCTCCATGAACTAAACAGCTTCCCCAATGCTGTTACAGGTCTCTCACCCTGACATCCACCCTCCACTGTGACTCAGGTGTTTCACCATCACCCATGCCCCTGTTCCCTGACTCCACCACTGTCACATACCCTCTTATACAGATTTTGGCAGTGCCAGCTCTTCTGCCCCAGATCTTCAGCAGGTTAAAACCTGAGTATAGAAACTTGTGTAGCATTGCATTCCCAGTGGATAAGTAGCCTACCTTTTTTTTAACCAACCACTTGATTGCTTTCCTGCAGCAAAGTAGGAGTTTGAATTGTTGCCAGTGTGTATGTATGTGCATCAGTGCAAGAGAGAGATTGGTTGTGTGATTTTACTGATGGAGAAATTAATGTATTTAAACTCACATAGCAAGATCAAGCACACTTCCAATAACTCACTGTGTAAAATAATCGACCAATATTTCTGCAATGTCAGATTTATTCTCAAAAGTGTCATTGCTCATACCATTGAGTATAGGAGTTGAGACGTCATGTTGAGGTTGTACAGGATTTTGGTGAAGCCTCTTCTGGAGTACTGTGTCCAGTTCTGGTCATCCTGTTACAGGAAAGATATTATTAAACTGGAGAAGGTTCAAAAAAGATTTACCAGGATATTGCTGAGAATGGAGGGTTTGAGTTACGAGAAGAGATTGGGACTTTTTTCACTGGAGCACAGGAGATTGAGGGGTGATCTTACTGAGGCTTATAAAATCATGAGGAGCATAGATAAGGTGAATGACAAGGGTCGTTTCCCTAGGATGGGGAGTTCAAAACTAGGGGACATATTTTTAAGGTGAGAGGAGAATGATTTTAAAAGGACATGAGGGGCAGTTGTTTTACACAGAAATTGGTTTGTGTGTGGAATGAACTGCCAGAGGAAGTGATGGATGCAGGTACAATTACAACATTTAAAAGACATTTGAATAAGTACATGAATAGGAAAGTTTGGATGGATTTGGGCCAAGTGCAGGCAGGTGGGACTAGCTTAGTTTGGGAATATGATTGGCATGGACGTCTGTTTCTGTGCCGTATGACTCTATGACTCTACTTCCACCACCTTTCAGGAAAAGAGTTCAAGACTCTCAACCCTCAGAGAAAACAAAATCACCTCATCGCTGATTAAAAAGAGTTTTTAAATAGTGACCTTAGTTCTGGATTCTTCCATACGAGGAAACAACCTCTCTACATCTACTTTGTCAAGATACCTGAGAATAAAAAACTCCTGAACTATGCACATCTGGGGAAATGATGTGCTGTTGGATTATATCAGTTGCAAGTATTCCTCAAACCCTCTCTGGTTTGATGGCAGGACTGTACTTAGATGTAGATAGTCTGCTGTTTTAATCCACAATTTTTTTTGGGACTGGGAGAAGATGTTCCATTTTTCTGTCTGGTAAATAAAATGAGGATTTAATTAAAAACTAAAATCCCTCAGAATCTTATGTGTTTCAGTAAAGGCACTGCTTGCTCTTCTAAACTCAGGCAAATAGAGGCCTACCGTGTCCAGCCTTTCCATATAAAACAACTCCCCACCATTATAGGTCCGGTCAATCTTCTCTGAACATCTTCGCTGGTACTGTGCACAGTATTCCAGGCGTGGCTTCACTGGCACTGTCACTACTTTTATGTTCTGTTTACCTCATGATCAATGTTAACATTCTATTAGCTTTCCTAACTACTTGTACCTGCATTCTAATCATTTGCAATTCATACATGAGGACTCCCAGATCCCTCTGCATCTCAGAGCTCTGCAATCTCTCACCATTTAGGAAAATGCTTCTTTTTTATTCTTCTTGATAAAATGGAGATTTAACATTTCCCCACATTGTACTCTATTTACAACACTCACTTAACATATTTATATCTTTTCATAGACTCCTTATGTTCTCTTCACTACTTACTTTCCACCTTTATATTAGCCAGCAAATCTTCTTTCCATGACATTATGCGGTCAGAAATCACACAACACCATGTTATAGTCCAACAGGTTTATTTGAAAACACAAGCTTTCAGAGCATAGCCCCTTTGTCAGGTAAAGTGAGAAAGAAGCACACAGACATAGAATTTATAAGTAAAAGATCAAAGGGTCATACAAGTGATGTGGATGTTTTAAACAAACTTAAGACGCTGTTAAATAAGTTAGAAGGTTTTAATTGATTAATATGTACATGTAAATCCCCGAATTTCTTTCAAGTCACTGCCCTGAGAGAACTAAAGTATAAAGAACAAGTGATAATTTAGGTCAGAGAATGCATGTTAGATGTGAGGCCTTGTTTAGAATCTGTTTTTGTTTTTGTTTGGAGTCAGACTGGTTTTATTTCTAAAGTAGGAATTTATAAAATGCCACATGAACTGACTGCCCATAAATTGTGTGCTTTTTGAATGAAAAAGAATGTACCTGCGAATACAAATTCACCCCATAGATTTATATGTAAGTGTATGTGTGTGTGAGAGTGTGAGTGGGTGTGTGTGAGGGATGGAGAGAGAGAGAGAGTGTGTGTGTGTGTGAAGGGTGGAGAGAGAGTGAGTGAGTGTGTGTGTGTGTGTGTGTGAGAGAGAGAGAGAGCAAGTGTGTGAGGGAAGAAGAGACAGAGTGAGTGTGTATGTGTGTGTGTGCGTATGTGCGTGCATGTGAGAGAGAGAGGGAGAGAGAGAGTGTGTATGTGTGTGTGTGTGTGTGTGTGTGTGAGGGGGAGAGAGAGAGAGTCTGTGTGTGTGTGTGTGAGAGAGAGGGAGAGAGTGTGTGTGTGTGTGTGAGGGGGAGAGTGAGAGAGAGAGAGGGTGTGTGTGTGTGTGTGTGTGTGTGGGGGTGGGGGGGGCTTTTATTTTCTGAAATAATCTTTGACGTGGCACCATATCCAGTGCCTTCTGGAACTCACAAGTATAATACATTCACAGGTTCCCCTTTATCCAAAGCATGTGTGACCTCCTCAAAGAATTTCAACTATTGGTCGAACATGACTTCCCTTTCATAAACCATGTTTACTCTGCCTGAGTACCTTCAACTTTTCCAAAATCCTGTTGTAACTTATTTACTAAAAACTGCTAACATTTTTCCTCTGGCACATGTTAATACAACTGGCCTGTATCTTCCTAGTTTCTGTCTCCTTCCCATTTTGAATAATTGAGTAATATTCACTATTTTTCAAACCAATGGGGCCATCCCTGAATCAAGGGAGTTTTGAAAAATTAAAATCAACACATCATCTACCTCACTAGCTAATTCTTGTAAGATCCTAGGATGAAGTTCATCATAGGCATTTCATCCCACATCTTCAACAGCTTACTCAGTACCACTTCTCTGGTGATTGTTGTTGTCCTCATTTCTTCCCTTCCTCCCATCTCCTGATTTATGAATGCTTTTGAGCAATTATTTGTATCCATTATAACTAGGACTATTGCAAAGTACTTGTTCAATTTATCTTCCATTTCCTTATCATCCATTATCAATTCTCCAATCTCACTTTCTATAGGACTACTGCTCACTGTGTTAGCTAATTTCTTCTTTGAATGTTTATAGAAACGCTTACCAATCGTTTTTATACTTCTGACTCGATTTGCCTCGTACTTTAAATTTTCTCACTTTATTAATTTTTGGTAATTTTTTACAGTTTCTTTTATCCTTTCTAGTCTTCTGACGTGTCACCTATTTTTTCACAATGATATGCCGTTTCTTTAAGTTTGATGCTATCTTTAACATTTCTGATTAATCACGGATTGTACATCTATGCCTTGGGATTGTGAGAACTGGTTGACAGCAACAGCTGATGATGGGTGAGGTTCCAAGATAGTTCCTGACCTTTTAAATGCATCTACTCCTAATTATTCTCAGGGCGTCAATAATCATTGTATGTTGGACTTCACACTGAATCTCATTTGAACAAAGAGGTTTTTGTTATTAGTAATGAGGGACTGTGTGATCCAGTTATATCCAAATGCATCACAAATTATTTATTGCCTTTTAATTCTGGTGAACTATAATAAGTGTTTGCTTCCTTTTCTGATGAGAACCTGGAATAATAGCATACATTCATTTAAATATAGCTTCATACTAGAACATTCCATTGAAATCTATTCATGTGAAGAAAATATTTTCATCAGGGAAGGATATTGTGGTCTTGGATAGAGTGCAATCTAGAGTTACTAGAATGATATCTAAACTCCAAGGATTAAATTGCAAGGATGGATGCAAATTAGGATTATTATGACCAAAATTTAAAAGATTAACAGAATGATTTGTTCACAGTTTTCAACATATTAAGACAAACAGATGAGTTTGATTGAGATAAATTATTACTGTCAGTTGGAGAGTCTAGGATTAAGAATCAAAAAGTTAAAGCCAAACATCTTTATCTCAGAGTTGAAATGTCGAATATAAGAGGGTATGCATTTAAGGTGAGAGGTGGAAAGTTCAAAGGAAATGTGAGGGGCACGTTTTTACACAGAGTAGTAGGAGTCTGCAACACACTGCCAGGGGTAGTGGTGGAGGCAGATATGATAGGGCGTTTAAGGGACTTATTGGTAAGCACGTGAATATGCAAGAAATGGAGGGATTTGGACCAAGGGCAGGCAGAAGGGTTTAGTTTAATTTAGCATCATGTTTGGCACAACATTGTGGGCCGAAAGACCTGTTCCTGTGCTGTGCTTTTCTGTGTTCTATCTAAGGGATCAAATTAAGAAACACGTCAACAAACAACAGGTAGTAGGAGTTTCTGCAGACAGCAGTTGATATGAGATGAATTGTTACTTTTAGAATTGAGATTAATAGATTTCTGTTACTCAATTTAGTTCAGGGTTAAGGAGTCAGGCCATAGGCCATCCATGATCTCACTGAATTTTGGAATAGTCTCATGAGCTGTTCTTCTTATCATCTTTTCTAGTTCCTAAAATGTCTAAAACTGCCAAAATTGTAGTATGATTGAGAATCAAACTGCAATGTTGTGGGTTACATTGACACTGCTTACTCTGTACTGTTTCAGGTCCTTTGATGGTGATTGTTGAGTACTGCAAGTATGGAAACCTTTCAAATTATTTGAGGAGCAAGCGTGAAGATTTTATACCCTACAGGGTAATATTACTGGACATGTTCTCCCCTCCATCTCCCTGTAACTTCACTGAGCTAATAAAAGCCCGATTCCCAGTCTTCATCTTTATCCTTTATTAAGACCTCAAAACCCTTTAAGTCTCTTGGATCTCCCATTCTCCATTAGGCAATGGTATTTTCTTTTGCCTTTACTCTTTTGTGTAATCTAGAGAATCATTAGCAAAGCCAGAATTATTTCTCCAGCTCTTGAATTGAGTGGTTTGCTTGGGCATTTCTGAGGGCAGTCAATCACATTGCTATGGGTATAGAGTAAGGCAGACATGTCAGGACAGCAGATTTCCCTCTGTAATGGACATCAGTGTACCAGATGGCCTTTCACAGTCATTAACAATGGTTTCATGGTCATTATTACTGAAACTAGCTTATAATTCCAGATTCATCAATCAAGTTTAAATCCCACCAGCTGTAGTGGACCCATGTCCCCATAGCATTAACCTGGGCTTCTGGATTCACAGTCCAATGACATTACTGCCACCCCCTACTTCCCCCTTATGAGGGATATAGAGCAAAGGTGGGTAAATGAAGCTGAGGTATGAATCAGCCATGTTTTAATTCAGTAGCAGAACAGGATTGAGGAGCTGAATGGCCTGCTTTGTCTCCTCATGTTCCTAAGCCTGTTTGATGGTACAGTGTGGAGGGCACTTTACTCTCTATACCAGAGCTTTCTAGGTTTGACTAAATTACCGTTGTGCTGCAGGACCGGGCTCCGAAAATGAGGAATCAGGTGATCTCAATGGTGGAAGTAGTGAAAGGACTGGACAACAGGAGTCGGGCATGTACCAGTGAGAATGCAATCTGTAAACGAGCAGCCATGGAGAAAATCCTTTGTCATCCTGAGGAGCTGGTGGAAGGTGAGAATCACTCACTCTCTGTTTTAAATGATCAAACATTAGAATTGTGTTCAAAAACCTTGAAAGTAAATGGGAAAAAAAAATACTTACTCAGGAACACCATTCCTTGTTATGAAAGACTCCAAGCAATGGTGGTCAAGTTATCAGCACAAGAAATAAATGGAATGAAGTGACAATTGGATTTGTAGCTGATGCAAGGCATGTTTGAGGGATATGGGGAAAATGTAGGTAGTTGACAAAGCTAACATTTATTTCACATTCCAATTACCACTGTGTAACTGATGGTGAGTCACTTACAACCAAGTAGCAATAGAGAGTAGTTAAGAATAAATTGGTGTGAATCTGAAGTTTCAGGTGGGTCAGACTGGGTCAGGATGGTAGATTCCCTCCCCTGCACAGTAATACTGAACCAGATAGTTTTTGCACAGATTCCTGATTGGTAATATTAAGACAAGATTTTCTTCAAGAGGTTAATTTGAGTTTGAATTCTTCCAGTGGCTATGGTAGGGTTTGAACTTATGTTTCCAGAGTGTTAGTCTGTGCCTATGGACTACTAGTCTATTAATGTAATGTGGGTAGGTGGGATTGAGAAAGATGGGAGATGGAAATTAGATCAGGATGCTGGGTTGAAGGATATGAGGAGAAAGTGGGGCTGAAGGATAACGGGAGGAATCCAGGAAGTGGAATTGAGGAAAGTGGGGGCATGGGCTTGAGGATTATGGGGAGAGATTGGGGTTGAGGGATCTGGAAAGAAGGAAGGGAAATGGGGTTGAGGGATATAGAGACATGGTCAGAAAGTGGGGTTGAGGGAAATGAGGAGAAGGTGGCAAGCCGGTTTGTAAGATTGGCAACTCAGTGTTGTAATAGAGAACCATATTATTCCCATATGGGGTGGGCAGCATTCAGTGTTGTGACTGAGGGCTTCTGGACCAGAACTTCCTGGATGTGCCTAAATAAAGACAAGACCTTCTGTTTTCCCTCTGACAGTTGACGACCTCTGGCAATGCCCTCTGACCTTAGTGGACCTTATCTGCTACAGCTTCCAAGTTGCTCGTGGGATGGAGTTCCTGGCATCGAGAAAGGTGAGGTTCCCAAATTTGTCGGCTGATGCTAGCGCAGTTCAGCGGACACTGTACAGGTTCTGTTACTTCACCCAGGTATCTTTCCTGGCCTGTACTGTGTCTGTCGATCTGTAGCTATTTCTAAAGGGAATGAGAAAAATACTCGAAGAAAGATTCAGAGATGTATGGGGAAAGAGCAGAGAATACCTATGAATAGGCATGGACAGGATGGGCTAATGGCCTCCAGCTACTACTGTGCTTTAATGTTGTATGATTTGAGTGTTAGGCTGGAGGAATAATTGCAGGTGCTCAGTAGCAACATCAATACACGTTCCCCTTCCTGCAGGGTTCACGAAGCAGTAATCAGGAACAGGAACATTCAGCCGTCAGCAGTGTAACTCAGCGCTGCTGGGTCTCATTCTTCTAAAGCAGGTATTGATTTTACTTGGGGCATCTTACCATAGTAATCCTCACATCAAAAACTGTTTAATTGGCTGTGTGGCACTTTGGAATGTCCTGAGGCCAGGAAAGGCATTGAAGATAATCTTTCCATCGCTCCTTCCATCCTTTTCTTCTTTCTGCTGTGTGCGTTTGCAAATTTCTTTGTGGGTTGACTTGCTCAATCAGAGAAGAGACTCTTAAATAACCCTTCATTGCCCCCTACTGCTAGCTGTAGAAAACACATGAAGATTCAGAGGGGAAAATTATTCCAGCCTATCTAATTTGTTTTTGCTGGTTATTGGATATTGCTGGTTCAGAACAACACTAATTTGAAAGTAACTGCCTCTCTCTGGGACCATACACTTTGCAGCAATTAACTAATCTCCTGACTCCCCAATGCCAGCCCACCATCTACAAGGCACAAGTCAGAAATGTGATGGAATACTCCCCACTTATGTGGATCACTGCAGCTCCAACGACACACAAGAAGCTCAACACAGTCCAGCTCAAAGCAGCCTGCTTGGCACTACCTTCAATATCCACTAACATTGGTCCTGTCTGAGTTCTACAAGTATTGTAGGCCCCTTTAGCCATCCACTGGACTCTGCTCTGCTACACAACTGAGCTCCCACTTGGCGATGAGATCCCAGACTGTTCATCAAGTGAGCAGAGAAGCAACCAGGAATTTCACCTCACTGTGACCTTGCCCAAAAAGGGGATTGATTTTAATATCCAGCAGAGTGTGCACCTCCCTGTGCCAAAGAATCTAAACCCTGTGTGTTTTCCATTATTGTCTTCATAACACTACCCTTGTTAGATGTTCGCTGAGTAAGGATATCCAGTGATTTGGAGCAATGCTGAGTAAACAAAGCCATATCAGGTTGAAAAGCTTAAGAAGCGAACTCACTTTGAAATGTAAGGCAATAAGCCATTTCACCCAGCAGGTCCAATGTTTATGCTTGACACAAGACATCTCCAACCTTCAATGTATCCTCCTATTCCTTTCTCCCTCAGCTGTTCCTTGTGCTGGTGTATTCCACATTCTCACCACTCTCCGAGTAAATATGTTTCTCCTGTAACTCCTACTAGATTTAAAAAAGACATGAGGGGAAAGTTTTTTTACACAGAGGGTGGTTCGCATGTGGAACAAACTTCTTGAGGAAGTGGTGGATGCGGGTACAATTATAATGTTTAAAAGACACTTAGATAAGTGCAGGAATAGAAAAGGTTTGGAGAGATATGGGTCAGGAGCAGGCAAGTGGGACTAGATTAGTTTGGGATTATGGTCAGCATGGACTGATTGGACCAAAGGGTCTGCTTCCATGCTGTATGAATCTATGACTCTTTTGCTGACTCTCTGATACTTATGGTCTCTATTTTTGCATTCACATAAGTGGAACCGTTTTCTTTATATCTGTGCAATCAAACCCCATCATGATATTATAAGGATTAATACTGGGTCACCTCTTGACTTCTTTTCTGGAGTAAAGATTCCTAGCCTGTTCAGAATATCCCTTTCCTCGCCTCCTCTGTAGTGTTTTAATTTTTTCACAGCATCAAGATTGTTAGCAGACAAACTGAGTTGAGAAACTGCCACCCTGTGTTAAAAGACACCACATGCAGGTTCTTGCCCAGGGCAAGCATCATCGTCATCCCCCATTCCTCTCCCCACCACTGCCCCCAACCAGCAGACAGGCGGTCAAGACAAAATTCAACTCCAATCTCTGAAGCTTGCTGCATATTGAATGACTGGAACCTGTGTTCAGTGTATTCACAGAGACCTGGCAGCTCGCAACATTCTCCTGTCTGAAAACAACGTGGTGAAGATTTGTGATTTCGGCCTCGCCAGAGACATCTACAAGGATCCTGATTACGTGCGAAAAGGGAACGTAAGTAGCTAGGCCTAAGGTTATATAAGGGCTAGGGAGCAAAACTGGAGTTAAAATACAGTAAAGGTTATGATTAAATTGAGTGGCTTCCTCCTATTTGTATGACATCATTGTGGACTTTGGATTTGGAGCTGCCAATGAGACACAAACTCCTGGGGACAGAGGTTTGCCCCCAACAATAATGTTGGGGCTTCAAAATAGATTTTTCACCTTGACTGCTAAGATTTTTTTTAGTGAGAATTCATATAAAAAGTACATAGGAATAATAATTACATTTTCTTTTAAAGAAAGGTTGCCTGGAGTGAGATGGCTAGATATTTATTGAGTAAAGTCATTGATAGGGCCAGCTAGCTCAGTTTTCGAGGTGCAGAAGAATACCAATAACTTGGATTCACTTCCCATTTTGGCTGAGGTAATACTCCTCTTGGCACATAGTGATATTTTGGCATGAAATGTGATTAAAAACCCTTTGAAGGTGAGGGTACCACATACGGAGAAAGGCACCAAGGGTTACATAACCAAGATGGGTAAATGGGGTCCCCTTCCCCTCCCCCATTTCTGAAGAAGGGTCTAGACCCGAAATGTCAGCTTTCCTGCTCCTCTGATGCCGCTTGGCCTGCTGTGTTCATTCAGCTCTACACCTTGTTATTTATGATACAGACCAACTGTGATTTAATTGAGTGACAAAACAGGCTCAGGCAGCTGAATGGCCTCCTCCTGTTCCTATGTAATGTGAGTGTATTGTGCATTGGAGAAACAATCTGGGGTTTTCCTTGTCTCTTGTCTGAGTTTGGTGCAGACGAATTGATCAGCATTGCTGTTCTGATTATTGACATATCATACAACTACCAGAATAGTATATGATGATTTGGATGATCACTTAGAATATCATTAAATAATCAAGAGAATATGAGTTCTAGTCTCACCACAGCAGTTTGGGAATTGGATTTTTTTAAAAATATGTGAATCAAGAAGCTGATCTCAGCAAAACTGAGCAACGAGCTTTAGGATTGTTGGTTTAGAAAAATAATTTAACTGGTTCCCACTCAACTCAAAGCAAACCCAATGGTACTTTAGAGAAGGAAATCTTACCCATTCTGAGAGAGCAACATAATTGACTCTAAACTACTCTGTGGCCGACTAGCTAGAGATTCAGGTTATCAAATTACCAGCAGTTCAAGCAAGTCCATCACCATCTTCTCAGGGCAACTAGCAATGGTCAATAAGTACCAATCATGCCAGCAAAGCCTATATCCCAAGACTTCACTTTGAATCTAACCTGTGCCATACTTGCCCTGGGAGGGCAGTGCGGAAGGAGCTTTACTCTGGATGTAATCCATGTTATACTTGCCCGGGAGTGTTTGAACTTTTCCTAATCAAGTTTTGATAAAGCACATTAATGGATTTTAGCAAATTTAAGTTGTCAACCAAAGTATTGTAACTTCTGATTTTTACGTTTTGTTACAGGCTAGACTCCCGCTCAAGTGGATGGCTCCTGAGAGCATTTTCGATAAGGTCTACACCACTCAGAGTGATGTGTGGTCATTTGGGGTCCTCCTATGGGAGATCTTTTCTCTGGGTGAGCAGAAATTACTGCTCAGGACTTGGCTAAATGTGGCCATCAGTGAGCCTCTCATTATCTTACTGACCTCTTGTTTTCTTTCAGGTGTCTCTCCCTATCCCGGAGTCCAGATTAATGAGGAATTCTGCCAGAAACTGCGGGAAGGCACCAGGATGCGGGCTCCGGAATATGCTACAGCAGAAATGTAAAGGGGATACCTCTGGATCCTTACAGTCATTCTGGGATTAAAAGGGTTAAATAAAGTGACCAGTCTTCAAAGTCGAATCTAGTATTCTATTGAGTAGAACAGATTAGGGGATGACTTAACTGAGCTGATTAAAATGCTTGAAGAATTTGGTAGGGGCATATAGAGAGAAACTATTTCCTCCGGGAATGAGTCCACTACAAGAGCATATAGTTTTAAAATTAGAGCCGGGCCATTTGGGGTGATGTCACAAAGCAGTTTTTCCACACAATAGGTGATGGAAATCTTGAACCCTTCCCCAAACAAAGTTGTTGAGGGAAGATCAATGAAAATTTCTAATCCAAGATTAATGGTTTTTGTTAAGTAAAAGTGTTACAGAATTGAGGTGGGTAGATGACAAGATTAAGTGGAACTAGTGAGGGTAGTCGTGTATTTTTAGTGGGACAGACTCGATGGGCCAACAGTCATCTTCTATACTGTATGATTCCATGATTTTATGCTGTCAAGATACAGATCAGCTTGGTCTAATTGAATGATGGAATAGGTTAGAAGGATTAAAATGGTTTCTCCACGCTGCCTTGTTCATAGAACCCAGCAGTCAAATTGTGCGACAATGTGGTTGCCTAAACTGACACAGTCAAACATGTAGAATCATAAAATCATACTGTCTGGAAGAAGGGCATTCAGTCCATTATGATGGTGTTGGCTTGTTGAAAAAGCCATCCAATAGTTCTACTCCTTCTGCTCATTTCCCATAGCACTGATATTTTTTCCCATTCAAATATATATCCAGTCAGATTTATTTCCACTGCCCTCTCAGCCATACATTCCTGATGTGATATGTACTCTCTAATATGGAGAGATTGAGCAGCTTAGGCCTTTACTTGTTGGAAAACATTCAAAACAGAGATGACAGGAATTAGAGATAGTAGGAACTGCAGATTCTGGAGAATCTGAAATAACAAGGTGTAGAGCTGGATGAACACAGCAGGCC